GGCCCTGGGACATGCATCCCCAGGGAGCGCATCATTGTGCGAGAGTCCTTCAGGTTCTGGAGCCTCGAGTCTGTTTTCTCCGAAAAGAGGCCCTGACCCTCAAACGGTAGATCCTGCAGGGTCTGCTGCAGTTCCGGAGGCAAGCCCGACACCTGGAGCCAGGAGATTCGGCGCATTGCTATCCCCGACGCTAGGGTCCTAGCGGCCGAGTCCGCTATATCGAGGGACGCCTGTAGGGAGGTGCATGCCACCCGCTTGCCCTCCTCTACCAGGGCCCCAAACTCGTCCCTCGAGTCCTGGGGAACCAGTTCTTTAAATTTCCCCATCGAGGACCACATATTGAAGCCGTAGCGGCTCAGTAGCGCCTGCTGGTTCGCTGCCCGCAATTGCAGTCCGCCAGCCGAATACACCTTGCGTCCGAACAAATCGAAGCGCTTAGCGTCCTTCGATTTGGGCGCAGCGGCCTGCTGGCCATGGCGCTCCCGTGCATTCACTGAGGAAACCACCAGTGAGCACGGTTGGGGGTGAATGTACAGATACTCATGATCCTTTGATGGGACAAAGTATTTTCTCTCAACCCCTCTGGCCGTGGGCGGAATAGAGGCCGGGGTCTGCCAGATAGTAGTGGCGTTGGCCTGGATGGTGCGGACCAGCGGTAATGCCACCCTGGATGGAGCATCCGCTGAGATGATCTGCACTATCGGGTCATGGACCTCCGCAACCTCCTCCACCTGAAGGTCCAGATTGCGAGCCATGCGCCGCAGTAGGTCCTGGTGGGCGCGAAGGTCTATCGGGGGCGGCCCGATGGACGACGTGCCCGCTACGGCCTCATCAGGAGAGGACGAGGAAGATGCCCCCGGTGGCAAGGGGTCCAATGGTTGGTCCTGCTCCCGGTGCTCCTGGTGTTGGGCATCTCCTGCCCCCTGGTCAGGGGCCTCGGCAGGTGCGGGCACTGGAGCCTCCCCGTCCCTTGGAGGAGGGCGGGAGATGGTAGACTCCGGGGCCCTGGTGTCCGAACGGCCAGAGCGGGAAGCCGACAGGGGAGCTCCCTGAGCTTGGTGGTAGGCCCAAGGAGTCCAAAAGGACCAATGCGCAGGCCCTTGCATCGGGTCCTCGGTCTCCTGCAGGTGGCCGGGCTCCACCGTCTCAGATGACCGGGACGCCGATCTCGACGGCCACGGCGGTGCCGAACCCGATGCCGTCGGTACCGGATGGTACGGTGCCGATCGGTGCCGACCGTACGGGGACCTGTCCCTGCGTTGTTCCGGCGAACGGTGCCGGGACCTGGACCGGTGCCGATAGTCCCTCCGGTGCCGGGATCCCGATCTGGAACGTGACGACGATCTGGAGGAGGCGCGGTACCGGGAGCGGCCTCTCGAGCCCGAGCGGCGCTCATACCGGTGCCGGGAGCTGCGCCTCGACCCCGATCGGTGCCGGTCGTCACGGCGGTGCCGGGATGTTGAACGGCGCCGCGAGGAAGATCTGGGCCGCGAGTACGACCGGTGCCGAGGTGACCCTCGGCGCCGGGACTCCGAGCGGCGTCGGGACCTGCTTCGGGATCTGGAGCGGTGCCGAGAGACTCGTGCTGGCGACGGTGGGCGCACCAGGGCAGGCTTGCCTCTGGACTGCAGCACGCGTGGAGCCACCGGTGCCGGGAGCTGCGACGGCGCCGGCTCTGTGAGGGCGATCAGGTCTCTCGCCGTGGCAAAGGTCTCCGGGGTGGAAGGGAGACAAGGTTCCACCACCAGCCTTGGTGGTGAAACAGTCCGCACCGGACTCAACGGCCTCGGTGCCGGAGTCGACGGTGTGGCCGCCTGTCTTTGGCGGTCCAGCTGCGGACGCGGCTCTACCCCCGGCACCGGGGGAGCCTGTATCTTCGCGGCAGCAGCGTCCCGTGTCTTAGCGGTCTTCTTATGGCCCGGCGAAATGGATCGGTGCCGAGGCTCTTTGGGCGGGCGCGGTGCCGACGTCGGTCGGTGCCGGACAGTCTTTTCTGCCGCACCGGTCGGGCCCGCCGGGGCGCTGCGCACCGAAGCGCTCGGTGCCGGGACAGGGCGCGCCGAGGGAGGATCTGGACTCAGCGCCGCCTCCATGAGGAGCTGTCGGAGCCTAAAGTCCCGCTCCTTCCTTGTCCTCGGCTTGAAGGCCTTGCAGATAGGGCACTTATCTGCTGGATGAGTCTCTCCCAGGCACTTCAAGCAGGAGCTATGCGGGTCGCTAGTTGGCATGTGCTTCCCGCAGGACGCGCACGGCTTAAAGCCAGGAGCCTTGGGCATGGGCCCGGCTGCGCGCCGGGGGGAAAAGGGGAAAAACACCCCCTAAACCCCCGATAACAACTTATAACTATATCTATATACACTATAACTAACTACTAACTAACTTGAACAACTATCTATATAACTAAATACAACAAGAGCAAAGAGAAGCTAGGGAGTGTGGAGATCAGCTAAGCCGCGCTCCACAGTTCCAACGACCGTCAGGGGCGGTAAGAAGGAACTGAGGGGGCGCTGGGTCGGCTGGGGTATATATCCAGCGCCATAACGGCGCCACTCTAGGGGGCTCCACAGCCGACCCACCGGGTGTTGCTAGGGTAAAAATCTTCCGACGATCGTGCACGCGGCGCGCACACACCTAACTGGAATGGATATGAGCAAGCACTCGAAGAAGAACATGGGATTTCAAATTCCAGATATTTTCTGTAGGAAACTAGATCCACAATAACTCCTACCATTTTTGATAGTCAAATGAAACATTTAGATCTTTGTTTGTTTTGTTTAAGTGTACAGGAAACCTCACCGTATGTGAACAGAATGAGTGGTATTTTTATGTGGTTTACTTTCTTCTTTTGTTCCCATTTTCTTCCTTGGACTGCATTTTACTAGGTCTTTTCTAATATACTATGCTATTAAAAATCTCCAAAGCAATGTATTTTTATTAGAACTTTCTTCTTCCAAAAACATCATCTCACATGTATTAAATGTTCACTCAACTTACATTTGGATCATTAACTATTTAAACAGCTTGATGGGACTACTATAGGCTGCTGCAGTGACCCATAAGGATTGTGATAGGCTGCTGTAAGTTAGAAGAGTTTCTGGAGCTGCTTTAAATTATGCTGAGTCAGTACGGTCCCCATCCAGAATCTGGGGGCCTTCTAGGGGGTGGAAAGCCATCCCACAGTTCCCCCTCCTTGTCCTGAGCCATGCCAAGCTTTAACTTGGCCACAGTTTGAAATTGAAGCCCAATGTTTTTCTGAATCTCATCCAAAAATTGGACTGAAAAATCTTACATAAATAAGCTTTCTATTCTTCCTGTTTCCAGTTGAAATAGAAATACTGAGTACATATTTCTACGAGTGTTCACGACACTCTCTCTTTACCCAAACAGTACGTCAATCAGAAATTCACTTATATAAATGTTTGTGGAAAGTGAATTAAAAGGGGCTGTGAATGCCTGCAGAGCAAATCTGTGGTTTATTTAAACAAATGTTTGCAAAAAAATATTTTTTTTTTGCAGAATTTGACTTGCTTTCTTTTCCAGTATAAAATGAAAGCTATTGTGCAACAAATGTTCATATAATCAGCTGTGCAATTATTCATCAACTGGGATTTATTCAAATAAAGAGAAAATCTATTTGAAAACTTCCCTCAGATGTGCTTTTTGTTGGGAACTTGCATAGACCAGTGAAATAAGATTTGGGATAAGAGTCCTAGGTTGGTGGCTCAAATCCTGCCCACGTCAACAGAGAGTCGTTACTATTTGACCGTTGTTCACTATAAAACAGGCATAACACCAACTCCCTACTTTACAGTGGTATTGCAAAGATAAATTAGTCAATGTTTGTGAGTCTTAAACATTACAGTGGTGACAGCCATTGAAAAGCCATGAAGAAATAAAAAAAAAACAAAAACCCTTTGTGTTCAGGGTTTGAATGGTGTGCAGTAAGTCATATTGCAACCCATCAAATGAAGGAGATCAAAAGAAATATTGAACTACTTCCCCCATTTATTGAGTGCTATCCATCCTATGCACTGAATTTGGCAGGGATCCTACAGAGAAAGCAGTAGGCCAGATTCCACAGAATGCTCCACAGTCCTTTTACACTGGTTCAGAGTCACAAGAGACTCAAAAGGGGCAGATTTAACCCTGGGGGAATACTCCCAGATCAGAGTGATACAGAGCTGCTTCAGTGGTAGAGCTGTTAGGGAATTTCTTGACTTGGTGTTTTTTCATCAGAAAATTTGCTGTCTCTATGAAAATCTGACTAAAGATACATTTGAGAGATACAGAGAAAGTGCATGAGTGCACATACATAAGTGCACTTTGCAAAGACTCTGATTTGGCCAAATCAAGAGTAAGTTTTCACCAGAGCACTGAAAGGATGTTTCAGTGAAGGGAGAACTACTTGTGAGTCAGAATTCAACTTTATTATTACTACTACTATTTGTACTGCAATAGTGCCTAACAGCCCCAGTCACAGACCAGGACCCCATTGTTCTGGGTACTGTACAAACACAGAACAAAAACACAGTCCCTGCCCAACTTACTACCAATTTGAAATCAATAAGTATAAAGAAGTACGAAAATACTCAGACTAGGAGATTGCTCCTGCTCCAGCTGAAATAAATAGTGAAATTCCCATTAATGGCATACGGAGCAAGGCTGACTCCAGCCAACAGTGCAGCCATACATGGGCAATACTTAAAATTGCTCCAGTCCCATCACTGTTTCAATTATGGTGACTTGCAACATGTTTTTATGTTGTTTGTAATTTGAATGGAAAATGTTTCAATTAGGTAGGTAACAGCTTTTTAAGCAGTATTTCAGGTTTTACAGATTCCTATAAAATATGCTATAGACAGAGCTGGAATTTATTCACATGACCGACTACCCAACATGCCAACGAACTGGTCTATAATAGATTACTTAAAAAGAATAAAAGAAAGTTTGCTGACAAATTAGATATTTGTAAGTTCAAGGAAATACTGCTAAGTACTTACTAAATAGGATGGTTTTATGATTGAAAATCTTGCTCCAAATCCCATCTTCTGTGTTGTCTTTCACTCCAAATTCATAAGGCGTGTTGGGCTTCAGATTCTCCACCACTGTCTCCGTAGTTGGACAAAGCTGAAAACCCCAATTCTTGTTTTTATCCTTTTCCCTGTAGCGAACTGTATAAAATCTGTTCAACAGAAATGAAAGAACTATTCTTCACAAAGAGGAAACCAATTCAAATGAATATTTTCTTAAAATAATGTTTTCCACTCTTTCATATATCTATATAATTTGGGATCAGAGAAGGTTTTCCTTGTGGGTTTCTAGAGAAAGTGGTATGAAATTTCTTGAAAATCCAGAAAGATTTTCTATACAAAAGGCCAGTTCTCTTGTTTTTCTAGCCCCTTTGAGTCACCAAAGCAACACAAAGATGCTGGGAAAGCCACTGTATCTCCCAAGCTGGGGTAGAGCCAGCTAAGCCACTTTCTATGTAAACACCCTCCCCACCCTGCAACTCGCAGCAGAGGGGGTACATTGGGAGTAGGAGTGAGTGTAGCTAGAGTGTTAATGTGCGTAACTATTCTCCCCTTTTGGACAAGCCCCTTTGTGGCCATAGCCAGTAGGTTTACTTTATATAGCCCCTGTGGTGCTCTCTAAAGTATGCCAGAACGAGGCCTGGTGCGCTACTGGCCCCTGGAATCAGGGAGGCACAAGCAACTCCTCGCAATCCCTCTCCCCCCACAAGAAGATCCTGAGTGCAGCAGAGAATCTGGCCCTATATTTTTAAGAAAGATAAAGTATAGTAAATAAATAATATTTTAGGCTTACATATGTTTCTTCCAAGGATCTCAGAGAGCTTTAATGTAAAGTTCAATATTATTGCACACACTTTACAAATGGGGAAACTGAGGCATTACCTTCTGCAGTCTAAATTTAGTATGCAGGGAGGAAGGTAGGAGGAACTTTGAAATTAAAAATATATTCCAGTAGGATTTGCCAGATTCCCCCCCACCCAATCCACCATCCTGAAAAATGGTGACTGTGATGTTAATGAGTATGAGTCACCGTAATATAAACTATCAAAAATGTGGAACAAAACTCACATGGCCTGCCATAGCTTCTCATATTTAATATGCACACTACATTACTGCCAAGTTTGGTGGGGGAATGCAAAGATATTTGGCAGCATTTTAACTGAAGTACTGCTGAAACTTGTTAGACATACCATAAATAAATAAGTTTAATTTCCTCATCTGTCTAACATTTTCATCAACAGAAAAGGCATACATTCTGTCCAGTGGTATTTTTCTTCACTTGAAAAATGACTTCAGAAGGAACTTAAGGACATATTAAAAATATTTTCCCTACATGACAAAGAATCACTCAGAAATCACTAAAAGTAAAAAAAAGAAAAAAAAGACAGATCTGATTTTTTATTTAATTAAGGAGGTTTGATCCATAAATTGTGTATGAAGAAAGGTGGGAGGGAGATCACAGGAAGAAAGGAGCCTTAGGAAAACAATACAAATTACTCTTTAATCTACTGCAAAGGTCTAAAGTAATTATATCCTGGTTAACTTTATTTCACAGGCCTAACATAACATAGCCAAGGCATGAACCCACCCGTGCCAATTTTACAGCAGAGTGGTTGGAGCTAGGATTGTTGTAAAAGATGGCTGCTGAACCCAGTGAACGTTCTACTTCATTACTAAAATACTCCCAAAGGCAAGTTGCAGTTCCCAGATTTGTGAAGTTTCCTTTCACAACTTTAAGGAGCTGGGTTGACTTTTTCTGTGCGTTTAACCTGCACACTTAATATTTTTTCAACAGATTTAAATGGGCTTGGGAATTTAGGTCTCCTGATGGCATGTCATATTGCAAACCTTTGCAAACTGCCAGCTAGTTTCCTGTCTACAGCAGTGCTTCCCAAAGCCGGTCCACCGCTTGTTCAGGTAAAGCCCCTGGCGGCCCGGGCTGGTTTGTTTACCTGCCGCGTCCGCAGGTTCGGCCGATCACAGCTCCCACTGGCCGCGGTTCGCCACTCCAGGCCAATGGGGGCTGCAGGAAGGGCGGCCAGCACATCCCTTGGCCCGCACCGCTTCCCACACCCCCGTTGGCCTGGAGTGGCGAACCGCGGCCAGTGGGAGCCGCGATCGGCCGAACCTGTGGACGCGGCAGGTAAACAAACTGGCCCGGACCGCCAGGGGCTTTTCCTGAACAAGCGGCAGCCCGACTTTGAGAAGCACTGGTCTACAGGATGGCAAATTGTGAGCAGGATTCATGATAGGGGTGAGAGTTAGATACACTTCACTGACAAGTTTAGCAACTAAAATATATTCCTATTTGTTGTACAAACAAGATCATGACTGCTTGTGGTTATTAGATACCTTGACACTTTTTGTTAGACAAGAGGGGAAATCCCAGATCCTCATCAAATTCAAATTCTTAAATTCTCCTAAATTCCTCTTGCACTCTCATCTGGATACAGTATTATTCACGTCCACCCTGAAGAGGGATGGACGTGCCTAACCCGATTGGTGCTAGGTCACAGTGCCTGCAGTGAGGAGCTGGGGCCAGCCTTACGGGACGAGACATGCAGCTGTGGGGTGAGTGCTGGATGGGCTCGGTCTCCAAACCACTTTCAAGATTTCACAGACTTAATTTAAATCCATGCTTTCTGTGACCATCATATTAAAATCGTAGCCTTAGCTATAACACTTCATATTGGGCTGTTGAGACATTTAATTTATATTTGCACAGCATTTTGAAATCCCTGAATGAAAAACAGTAAGGATAAAGTATAATTGTTTATGTATTTTCAAATTTTAGGAAGACCTAGTGATATTTATTTTCTATTCCCTGCAACTCATTTACTGTCTTTTACTCCCACGATAGTTTATGGATCCAATGCTATTTTCATCTTCAGAAAATTTAAAACACTAGTAGCTATCTATGGTACTCATATGATCCCCATCACCACAGTATCTGAACACCTCACAATCTTTAACGTATTTATCCTCGCATAGGGTGACCGGATAGCAAGTGTGAAAAATCGGGACGGGGGGGAGAGGGAGGTAATAGGAGCCTATATAAGAAAAAGCCCCAAATATCAGGACTGTCCCTAAAAAATCAGGACATCTGGTCACCCTATCCTCGCAACACCTCTGTGAAGTAGGGAAGTGCTACTATCCTCATTTTGCAGATGGGCCATAGAGAGACTAAGTGACTTGCCCAAGGTCACACTGGAAGTCAGTAGAAGAACAGGGAATTGAACCCAGTCGTATGGTAGCATTCCAACCATTGGACCATTCTTTCTTCCTTTAACGGTACAGAGCACACAGCAAGTTAACTCACCAGAGCGGAGGAGATTACTAATTGGTACACTGACTTGACTGCCCCACATGCATTTTGGTCCAATGTGTTTAAAAGTAAAGGGAGGGGAGTCACTGCCAGAGAGGGTTGGAATAACTGTCCCTCACCAGTCCCTAGTGTTTAACTTAAGAAATCGGTTGACAAAGAAGGCCACCACTGCCATCTGCTGTTCTTGTGGCCTGGGGGCTTCCTTTTCACATATGCTGTTCATGAAATCAGCCATCTGAATTGGAGAGAGAGTAGCAGACAGATTAATAGGGTGGCTTCAAAGGAACTACCAGGCACAATCACTGCTCCCTTGCAGCAGCAGAAACTTTCTTAGAATGGAGGAAAGAATTTCCCACTTTTCTCCATCTCTGTTGGTCCTGTGCCCTTCACCCAGGAACCCTTGCTGCTTAAATTATCCCCTAACACCGACAGGATAGAGATGGCAGCCCCAGTATCAAAGATTTAATTGCCATTTTCATTTCTTTCCTTCATTTTTTTTTACCCCTCCCTCAACAATTTTTTTTGTTTTAGCTAAAATCAAGCAATCAGCAGCCACAATTAAAAGGCACGTGTGCAATAAAATTAGACTTGTAAGAATTTCCTTGTGCCACTGATATACACACATGCATAGAGAAAACCTACAGGTTTTGCACTGGAATTTCCAACCGAAGTTGACAACCCAGATTTTGTCTGTTTGGAAAGATATGGGGAGACCACACTGCAGAACCACATGCTTAATTTGTAACGAAAGAAGTGCTGGGGCTCAAGCAGTTAGGTGCCAGGGCTCAAACCATTTTTTTTACATTCATAACTGATACAGCAAGCCCAGAGGTGCCAGAGCTATAAACTGCCAAGCCTAGAGGTGCTGGGGCTTAGCCCTGGTAAGCCTGGCACAAATTAAGCACTGGCTCCAGAGGAATTGATAGGATGAGGGGGTGAAATGGGGGTGTCCACAGGAAAGTGTGTGTGGAGTGCATGCACGCACACACACACACACACACACACGTGTACATACACCTGTGCAGCCACACAGATGAAGCATTGCTCCCTATATACAGCCCCAACACCCAATCAAGTTATTCCTACCCCTTAAGGAGGAACAATGGGCCAAAGAGTAGGTAATACATACATACATAGAGAAATATAATACTGACTCTTTTGCAGCATGCCATTCAGGGCCGGCTCCAGCATTTCTGCCGCCCCAAGCAAAAAAAAAAAAAAAAGAAAGAAAAAAGCCGCGATCGCAATCACGATCGGCGGTGGCAATTGGGAAAAAAAAAAAAAGCCGCATTCGGCGGCAGCAGTTCAGCAGCAGGTCCTTCGCTCCTAGAGGGAGTGAGGGACCTGCCACCCCCGAACTGCCACAGGTGCCGTCCCTCTCCCTTGGCCGCCCCAAGCACCTGCTTGTTAAGCTGGTGCCTGGAGCCGGCCCTGATGCCATTCCCCCTCCCCCACACACACATACTTCCCCTCACCCCCAATAGTAAGAATTTTGGGTTTGTATTTTAAATACATCCCTATTGAAATACCCTCCTCCCTTCAAAATAAAAGACTCTGAGATGAATTGGGGTGGAGAGAAGGCAGATCAGTAAATCATTTTGAAAAAAGGAAAAAAGTAGGAAGTTATCAGTATTTAACAGCTAAGTATATGCAGCAAACTTAACTACCGGCACACCACTGTATTTCTCAGGGTAAAGCCTCACATCAGCCCTTGGGGGTGGGTGTATGTAAGAGAACACAAATTGCTGTCCCCAATACAAAGCAATCAGCAATGCATAATTCAAGCAAAACATTACTGTAGCTGTCACAAATTCCTGACTCTTCTCT